TTGCTGAACAAACCGCGAACCATGATGACCTGCACTTTTCCATGTGGTCCAATCAATTTTTCCAGTTTAGCATCGAAATTTACTTCAGAAGAGACGGCCATTTCGTCGAAACAGAGAACAGCAATTTTTTCCAGCGATGACATTTCCTTGCCTTTTTCTCGCATTATCGCTAGAACATCATGTAAGAATCCTTCTTCGATATTAAATTTTTTTAATGCCCACCTTCTTAATGATTGTAATGATGGTAATGGATAATTCAATTTCCTTTGAAAATAGCGGTAAGCTTTGGCGCTAACGCTACGAAATGAAATTGCTGCAATGTAGTCATCAATGGACCACTGAACCCATTTCTTTTTCTGTAAAATGCATCGTATTTGCCCTTCCGTGAAGAACGGTTGCAATAGTTCTTTACTAAACTCTTCTCTTGAGACCTCGCAAGTCTTCTTGTCTTCAATAGCGATCGTCAATTGTGATTGAAGACTGTTAACCAATGGCAGCATTTCTTGATATTTTAATGACATCTGTTCCAATTGGTCGTCTTTGTCTTGCAATTGGCGCTTCAGTGCCTCGATCTCTGCTTCGCAATTTTTGTGGCTTCCCGATGATTGCATTGCGAAATCCGTCAAATTTCGCATGTGGAAATCGTGTACAGAACGATAACGAAAATGCAATTCTTCCTTCAGTAACGATACATTCTCCTTTTCTACATCCATTTGAGCCGATGTTGGGCCACTGCTTTCTGTACAGTTTTCCATGAAAAATCTGGAAAGAAAAACATTATATTACGGTATTTAAGATTATATAATTGATCGTATATACTTAGGATGATGCAGATGCAACCACTGATGAAATTACATAAATTTTATTGTAAATTTATTATTAATTAATTTATGTATTAGTTGTAAGCTGAAGTTAATATAATAAATTAATAAATTAATGTATTTATTTATGTAATAACATTTTTTATTTTTATATATTTTTTAATTAGATCTATTTTTATATTTGTTTAAATATTTATATTTATTTTGTAATAATTATTTTTCTTGTTATATGTTCAAAAAATTTTGTTCTTTCATATAATAACTACATGCAAAAAAAACGTACCGTTGTCTACGTGTCGACAAAGGAGTATTTTCACAGCTGTTACATGCCCTTTCAAGGGAAGTCGCGTTACTTTTCGAAGCCACCTTACGTCCTTTGTGATCTGTCGAACTGTAAATCCAAATAAAGATTAAGTACAGGAAGTGTTGTTTTTATATAATATAGCAATTTTCGCAAAATGAAATATACATACGGGGTACGTTTATTGTGCCTCCTTAAAGCGTTCGCTCTTCTGTGATAAGCGTATGGCTCACATGTCACAGATCTATAAAAAAAATCAGAAATAGTTTATTTATTTATTTATTATTTTTATGATTCAAATGAATTTTTATTTTTATTGATATGGATTTATTTTTATGTTTCAAATGTAAAGTAATCCTACTTTGAAGATTGCATATGCACAACGTACCTTTTAGGATACGTAAAGCTCAATTTCTTCGGTTCGTACAATGGCCTTGGTGGTGTACGAATAACGCGGTACGATTCGTCCAACCACGGATTACTATATAAACATAACAGAATATAATATTAACAATTAATTTAAGTCATGCGAATGGAGAAATGACATGATAATTGAACATTATATGCAAGCGCAGTCGAAAAATTACGTAAGAGTATATGGAGATTCAGAAAAAACATTAAATAGAATATGATTCATTTTTCATTATACCTTTTAGAGCTCATTGTTGATGTTGTCACTATGTTTGCGTCAGCAGTAACATCACGATCCATGACTGCCGGTTGTTTCATTTGCACCAGGTTGAGAAGTACCTACTTAAGAAGTTAAAAGTAAAATGATGAAGTTAAATAGTGATTAACTTTTAATTGAACTAAGTTACATTTAAACAAAAGTTAACTATTAATTTCAAATATTTATTTACAAATATATATACACTAACGTATTACTTTTTTTATTAATTAAATTTAAAATTAATTAATTAATTATAAATATATTATATAAATAATATATGGACATTTGTAAGAAAACAAAAATATAATAATTGCTTTAAAATGCAAATTAAATCTAGCTAAAAAATTAAAATAACTATCTGATAAAGAGAAACATAATCTGTTTTGTTTTTAAAGGAAGAATTCAGTATTATAATGTGCAAGCAATGTAATAATGTGTAAGCA